GTGGGAGTTATTTCGATTTTCCTGTCTAGAAACCATGTTTTGAGAAAAACGATAAATAAGTTTGGAAAATAATTTTTCGTCGAAGTTTCGAAAAAAATCGCAATAAAAAATGGCACATTTTCAATATATGACAATAGGTATTTTTCAAGAATGCAACAAATGATGTGTGCTAATGCCATCTATCATATCCTGGGAGTGTTCTTTTTTCTCTAGTTTACGTGACGCACGAATGAATTATTGTATCTGTATATTTTCTAGATGAGATGATTCATACCATTTTTTCGATAAGTTAAACAAGTTGAAACTTTTTTCGAAAAAGATGAGTAAGACGCTGAAGAAAAATCACAGATAACGCTATATTTATGCTCACTGAGGCACAAGTCATTATGAATTCTTATTTTCTAGATTTTGATATTATTTTGTGCTTATATCTTCTTCAATGACACGCCCATCAATTGTGAAAAAGCAAAGAAAGTTCCGGTTGACTCAAAACACATCTACATCGAAAAAAGTCGTTAAAAATGTTATGAAAAAGACGCGTCAACTACAAAATGATCTTATTTCCGATATAGATCAACCAACTGGTAATGAACATTTCACGTATAAAGAACGTCAATTTGCTGGTCCATCATATCAAAAATTGTCAAATTTTCTTGAACAACAAAATACAGATGTTGTTAAAGATACAAATGATTATTATCAGATAATTCACAATTCGTTTTTATTGGAATTAATGAAACAAAGTATTTGTATCTCATGTAAATCAATATGGAATGGTGATATGTCTGTTGCACAACGGGAAGGTACTGTTTATGTTATCTTTTCTCGCGTAAAACTTAATAATTACATATATATTTTAGGATTATATTGTTCTCTGGTATTTACATGTCACTGCTCGAACGAAATTAAAATCAATACATCTAAACAATGTCCAAAAACTTCTCAACGAGATATTAATATTCGAAGTGCAATTGGTAAGTTGATTTTAGTAGCATAGTAACACATAAATTGATCTGTTATTTAGGTGCAAATTTTGCCGGGATAGGTCATCAAGGTCTTGTAAAACTTTGTGGTGTTTTGAATGTACCACCTCCTATTGATGATGATCATTTTTCTCGCACTATTACACGTATACTTCCGGTATTTGAATCACACAAGCTCAATTCAATGAAAAATGCTATAGAAGAAGCATGTGGTGAATCAAATAAACGTAAACTTACTGTAAGCGGAGACGGGACCTGGCAAAAACGCGGCTTTTCTAGTTTACATGGAGTTGTTGCAATAATGTCAACCTGTTCCAGTGCAAAAGTACATATTAGATGAAAATATTTCTATATATTAACATTCAAGTTTTATAGGTGCTGGATTTGGAGAGATTATCTAAAAGTTGTTCCATTTGTACTGGTGCACTTAGTATCAAACATTCAAATCCAACAAAATATGAAGAAATTAAAAATAAACATAAATGTGAAATAACTCATTCAGGCTCATCAGGTATTATTCCGTTCAGCAGTTTCTATTTTGACTTTATGCTTTTTAGGTTCTATGGAAGCAGAAGGAATATATCATTTGTTTTCACGATCCGAGAGAATGTACAACGTTCAATATATAAAGTAAATAAAACTATATTGTTTTATTTTTTGTAAAATATGATAGTAGGGGGTCCAGTTTTTTACCAATAAGTCCGTGAAAATCTGATCGTTTTGCAAAAAGCTACCTATATTCGGAAAGAGGAATCTTTGGCGCATCTTCCTGTGTAAAAAACTCAATTTCGATTTTTTTTCGAAAAATTGAGTTTTCTAAGGGGGGGGGGGGCCCTTAAATCAAGTAAGGTTGTATTTTTGAATGGTTTCATCTTTTAAGATGCAATTAACTGAGCAGAAGGCTAGGATTGTCCCGATCTGGCTTCGATTCATCATATAATTCCTTTTTTCTGAAAAAAAAAGAATATTTCGGTTGATTTTCCTATTTTTCTTCTATTTTGTCAAAAAAAGAGTCTAAAAGCTCGACAAAATTTGATTGTACTCTGAGAGGGACTACAGAGTTTTTCTGAATGCTAGGGTGCCTTCTTCCAGTCATCACTTTTTAAGGGAAAATCCAAAAAAGTGAATAGTTGCTTCTTGCAAGTAAAATACATATATATATATATACATATATGTATGGGGCACAATTTGACGTACAATACTTACATTTTGGTTAACTTTTTACTTGTTGTAGCGAAAATAATCGTATAATTCAGAACATAAAATCCTATATAGGAATTGCTTGAACTTCGGAAATTTGTAATCGAATGTCAAGCTACGATCTGAATATACTATGTAGGAATCAATCACATACACTAATTAGTAGACGAAAATTTGGGAAGGCTCACTCGTTCGACATAATGACATTAAGAATGTCACAATTAAATTCAAAACTCCAGTATTCCACCATCATATATGATTTTTATTGATTACAATTGCGTTAGGGATGTTCCTCATATATACAAGATACAGTCGATTTCAATTACATTCTAAATCTTCGGTTATACAACGAATACATGTATAACTGGAAACATTAATCTAGCAAAAAATGAAACCTACAAATAGTAATCCAGCAACTCTTGATACGAAATAAAATTTACTTATTGATGTCAATTACATCTACGAATATTATTTCAAATTCACTTGAACAAAGTATAAGCATCCATGTGTATCCGTTATTGAAATCTATCTTACAAGAAGATATAGTACATCAGATATGTCACATCAATCCAAATAGGATATCGACATAGAACGAGAGGGTGTGGGTGTGGGTGTGTGTGGGTGTGGGTGTGGGTGTGGGTGTGGGTGTGGGTGTTGGTGTGGGTGTGGGT